CACATAATAACCTTAATGGTGGGTGTGTCTGAAGTACTGCCAGAGTGGAGTGAATCATGGCTTTAGGAGTCAGGGAACACTACAGAGGATGTGACGTTGGGGCTGTCCCAAACAATGAGCAATGGGTCATACGTGGAGGAGAGCGGAAAGGACATTCTAGGAGGAGGACACGGCATCTGCTCTCTTGAAGCACCAAGGCACGTGTAGAGTGTGAAAACCACTCTGCATGGCTTCATTTGACGTTGTGTGGGGTGGTAGGCTAGTGAGAATGGAGTGAGGAGAAGAGGGACGTAAGCTAGGAAGAACAGAACGGAGCCTGCTTTGAAGGGATTTGTATACCTAGTTACGAAGTTTGAATATTTTTCAGTGCAAAATGCAAAGTGAAAAAATAGTATAATTAACTTTATTTGTATTATTTTACTTTATTAGGTTGATTGCTCTTCTGTCTACTTGGAAGTTAAATGGAAGAAATACTGGAAACAGAAAAAATCATTGAGGAGACAATTGTGCCATGTAGGAGACTGTGAAGGCCTGAGATACACCAGCAACAGCGGGACGGACCTTAGAGGGAATACTGGAGAGAAGCTATAGATGAGAAGGAAAAGTGTGTGGGCCGTGCATTCGGGTAACCTGGAGGAAGAACCAAGGCAGGCTTCTGTTGTGCAATACCGGACTCCAGGTGCAGGAACTTTCTAGGGGGAGATAATAACTTACTTTTGTCCCCATTCAGTGGGTTGAGCCAAAAGGAAAAATCCGAAAACATACAGAGGCTCACAGAGATTAGAAGCCCACATTGGTGCCACCTAAGGGAACCATTTAACGTGAAGACTCTGCTGAATAAGGCACGTTCAATTTCACGCCCATCTTTCCACTCATCTTCCAGTCACCCATCAACAGACTCATACGATGTCAGCACGTAGAGATGCAAAGAATAAGATAGGTATTTTCCCTCCCCAAAGTACCCGGTCCATCCAAAAGTGAGTGGGACAGACACCAATTAGGATTCAACATTCCCACTCTGGTGGTGCCAGTTGATCTCTATTCTCAGCAGCCTTTGTTCGCTGTTTGTCAGACTACCTTCTCAGTGAACATCAAACTCCAGTCTGTCTGAGTTTGGGGCACCTTGACCAATGTGTGTGGTCCTAGAAAAGACCCACAGTGGAAAGAGAACTGGCCTGGGAGTAGGGTGACCTTGGATTTAGTCCCTCCAAGGCAGCTGCTAGCTTTAGGTTCCCAGAAAAGTTCACCTGTCTGGGCTTTAGAGTCCTCTCCTGTAGAATGACAGGGTTAGGCCAGGAAATTCCTGGGGGTTCTTGTTGCTATGATGCCCTGAAAGTCTATGATCCTACAACCTAGGTCTGGAATGGTACTTGGAGGTCCCTTTTGAATGAGAGTGCTGGGGTCCAGAGTTGGGACTCTGATGTCAAGTTGGACTGGGCCAGCTTCCCCCAGGGACAGATCTCACAGACATGACTGGTTTGTGCACTGAGGGTCGCACACAATTTCATACCCATCATCTGATTTTATGATCATGAAAACCTGAAGTATATCACTTCCATCTTCAGAGGAGGACACTGAAGCCAAGAGAGCCAAATGGCTGGCTAAGTGCTAAGTGCTTTATATGAGTTTTATTATTTAAATCACACAATACTCCTATAAGTTTCTAATTTTGCCTCCCCCATCTTTACCATGATTGCTCCTTCTTCCCCTTTTTTCCACTTTATAAATGATGACTCTGAGGCTAATGGAGATGAGGTAGCTTTCATCCCATTACTAAGTACCAGAGCCCAAGATCTGTCTAAATCTAAAATCTCTGCTCACAACCTTGGTCAGAATCCAAATCCCTGCAATGGCCAGAGGATGACACAAATAAATGAAATGACCCAAGCAGGATTATTATTATTAAAAGCCATAATTATTCATTTATCATTTTCATTTTAAGTGGATTTAAGATGTGTCATGTACGTGTACTAATGACCCGCAAAGAATATAATCATTATATGTTGCAACTGAAAGAAGAAAAGAAGAAAATGGGGGGAGGGAATCTAGAGATGGAGGGAAGTAGGAGGGTAGCAGTGGAAGGGAAATAAAATGTGTTAAGTCCATCTACCTATGCACCTAAGACCAATATAAACATCATGTACTACATTTACTAATGAAACTATAATTATTACTTAAAAATTGTTATTAAAAACTTTCTTTTCAACTTCATTGAAGAAAATCCAGAGTACAAGTAAAATAATACAATTAAACTTGTGTTTCGAATTGCACGGTAGGTATAGTAGAGAGAATAATGCAACTTGGTAGAATGGAAAAGTGCCTGCTCTCTCCAAGGATCGCAGCTCCCAGCAGGATTGATAGAAGGTAGGTTCACCTATGCCAGATCTTTGGATTTGAGAAGAAAAGCCAGATGTCTGGAATCTAAAGAAAAATTTCTCTGTTTCTAAACATTAGTGATTAATATAATATTCTGCAAAGACAGCAGATGATATCCATCATCTGTACCTCACTTACAAGGTACCAGTTCATTACATCTGTTCTGCATTGTGCCATCTTCAAAGCCCTAGCTGACTTGTGCTGCCCTCAGAGACTGCTCTATCACCTTCCGAGCACCCGATGCTGATCAGTTCAGGAGTGGGATGTCGCAGAGTTCCACTGATCCAGCTGTGTCTGTTGTTCATGGTCAGCAGTTACTCCGAGGGGATGAAGGATATTTTGGATATCCTTTTTGGCTAGATGATTTTATATAAAATAATTGCATTAATTTCCACAACAATCAGAAGAGGGCATTCAATTATATCTATTTTCCAGAAGAGTAAATGCATCTCAGACTGGTTATAAAGGTCACACAGCTGTAAGTAGCCAACCTGGGCCATTAGACTCAGCTCTGACTCCAGGTTCTCTTCATTCCATAGAGCTCCTCTGTCTTGGGGGCAATTTTAATCACATTAAGTTAAGGAGTGCTTCCTCTTTTACTTCTCTCTAGTGAGATTCTTTGGCAAGGAGGAAGGTAGGGGCTAGAGTCATCTGTCCGGCGAGAAGATGCCTTTGCCAGTTCTTATTACCTGCACCACCAGATCTAGGGACAGAGAAGAGACTGATGGGGTCCAGAAGGAGCATAAAGCAAGAATCTGGTCCTTCATAGTCTGGAAGCTTTGACTCTGAGGCAGACACTCCCAACTCTGTAGATGACTGCCAGGCGACAGGTACACAGGGAGGGAACCAACCAGCTTCTGGAATGCCAGCATGGGTGATGAGCCAAGCAGATGCCAGCCTGCTGCCTCATGGCCAGGCCAGACCCAGAATACTTTATATAAAGAGCCTTCTGCCCAGGGCCTCAGCCTGAATGACTTCGTGCCTGCTCAGGAGGGTGAGTCTAGAAGCTGGGTCCTGGGATTGGGGTGGGGGTGATGTTTGGCAGAAGTGAGGGGTAGCGGAAGACGGAGCTTGGAGCAGAGGAAATGCGCATCAGCCTGAGATGAACATCTGATGACTTTGGGGGGATATAAGAGGAAACTTTGTAGAGTTTATCTGTGGAGTCAGTGTGTTTGTCTTTGATAACCCTGGTTTCATCCTCAGGAACCGTTTTCCCTCATTAGGAGCCGCTCTCGCTGGAAAAGGCACATTAATAATTTATAATACTTTATAATACTTTATATCTTATGAACAGTGTTATGTGGGGGAGGAAACAAGTATTTAGACAAATGGAAATTATGTAGCTTTGTCCTTCATTGCAAGAATTTACAGTGCTTTGGGAACTTATGGAGAGGTGTTTTGTTGGATGAGAGTTGTCTATCAGTTCTTTGCTCTGCCCGTCACCGGGCTGCTTGATCACCCCCAGGTGTATTTTGGGAAAGCGAAGGAGTGGGGGCTGCCCTGCATTCTGCCCGCCTAAGTGCAGCACTGGAGTACACATGTGCCCCAGGCCCTGTTTGTAATGCTCCTGATGGGTAGACCCTTAAGAGTGGCTCAACATCAGTCTCATGATTAAGATCTTGCTCTTAAATTGGGTATAGGGGTACATACCTGTCACTTCAGCACTCAGAGACTGTGAGTTCAAGGCCAGACTGGGCTATATAACTGCATAGTAAGACTTTGTCTTGAAAAAGAAAAAAAGAAAAGAAAAAGAAAGGAGGAACGAAAGAGATGAAAAAGGACCTCGTACTTTCTGCACTTTCTGAGGTACTCCATTTTAGGTAACTCTATCTCTATCCTGCCTCTCAGAGGGGCTGAGGAGTAAACAGTTTTGAAGCTGGCCGTTGTCCCTGTCCAGGGGATTGATAACAGCAGCCTGCCTGGCAAGTGGCCATGTTGACCCCGAGCCTGTCGGAGGCTGGCCCGTTTTGTATGTGCGTGCCTTTGCGTACATCCATAAGGGCCGGTGTAAGTGGATTCACATAGAAAAGACTGAATATGGAGGAACAAATCTTTAATGCTGGGTTTGAGTTGCCCAACAGCTGACTGGACTCCTTACTGTCCAGTGAATGCACTCACATTATTGAGCATAGGCGCTCCCTGGGTGCCTGCTCCCATGTGTTCATTTTTACACGTATGCACATACATGTATGTTGCCAGTATGCATGTGTGAGGAAAACCCTGGCTCCCATGGGTGTCAAGGCCTCTCTCTGGGCCAAGCGTTGATACTCTCTATAGGGAGCGCTCTTTCCTGGACAGGGTTTAGAGTAAGAGAGTACGGTATGGACTGACCATCAGCGCCACCTGGTGGTTCACACTGGCAAACCCACCCTCCAGGTGGAGATTCTGTGTGCCGTACATCTAGTCCGGGTGTGTACAACCCGCAGGTCTCATGAACAGTAGTGCCTGATCCTGGATCCAGCTAAGTCAGTAAAGATTCGCGGGTGAAGACTGAGGTCGGAGAATGAAGGGTCAGGGAGGACACAAGGCATCTTGTCCTAACTCCTGGTTCCTCCTCCACAACACTCACTCAGCTGACCTGGCCTCTCCCCCTCAGGTCCTACTCACCTGCCGGCATCAGGACCATGTGTGACCAGCAGCAGATTCACTATTGCGTGCCGCTCCCCCAGTGCTGCGTCAAGGGTTCCTCCGTCGGTCCCGCCCAGTTTGCTGGTGTCAACGGCGAGGTGGCAGTCCCAGCCCCTTGTGGGGTCCAGATTTTGGAGTACCCTGCACCATGCCAAGTCCAAGTTTCCCAGACTCCCTGCCAGTCCATGACCACCCAGATGGAGTGCCAGGCTCCGTGCAAGTCTAAGACCACCCAGGTGAAATTCCAGGCTCCCAGCAAGTCTAAAACCACTCAGGTGAAGTGCGAGGCCCCCTGCCAGTCCAAGACCACCCAGGTGACGTGCCAGGCTCCCTGTGAGACTCAAGTTTCCTGCATCCAGTGCCAGGCTCCATGCCAGTCTGGGGTTTCCTACGTGCAATACGAAGTCCCATACCCTGTTCAGACTTCCTACGTAGAATGTGCTCCAGCTTGTTATACAGAAACTTATGTGAAATATCCGGTCCAGACCTACGTACCCGTTGTAGCCCCTCAACCTGTCACTACTTATGTAGAATGTCCCCTAGTGGCCCAGACCCCGGGAAGCTTCTCCACCCAGTGCCAGTACCAGGGCTCCTACGGCAGCTGCGTCCCTCAATTCCACTCAGGGGTCTCTTACAACAGCTGCGCCCCCCAGCGTCAGTCCCGGGCTTCATTTAGTTCGTGCGCACCCCAGTGGCAGGGCCGGGACTGCTACGGGAGCTTCAGTGGGCAGCGTCGGTCCCAGAGCACCAGCAGATGCCTCCCTTCGCGCCCGCTGGAGCCTTATCGCAGCTGCTCCCCGCCACGACGTTCTGAGCCCCGCTACACCAGCTGCCTGCCATCAAGATGCCCTTCGGGTTCCTACAACTACTGCACCCCGCCGCGCCGCTCTGAGCCCATCTACAACAGCCACAGCTGTCCGCGCCCCAGCGCAGGCTGCTCCCAGAGACGTGGACCCAAGTGCCGGGTGGAAATTTCCTCCCCCTGCTGCCCCAGGCAGGTTCCCCCGCAGAGGTGTCCTGTTCAGATCCCGCCCATCAGGGGGCGCTCGCGGAGCTGCGCCCCCCGGCCGTCCTGGGGCGCCTGCTGCCCCGAGCCGGGGCCATGTCCCTTCCCAAGGTCTTGCTCGCCACAGCGCCGTGGCCGGTGTCCAGAGCCGTCACCGCCGCGAGGCCGGCTTCCCGGGCTGTGTCCGCGCCCCGAACCGCGGATGAGTCCAGAGCCCCGCCCACGTCCCTCTCCTCCTCGAAGGCAATTTTCAGAACCTTATTTGTGTCCGGAACCGCGTTCAATGCCACGTCCAGCTCCGCGTCTAGCTCCATGCCCAGCTCCAGCACCTCGCCTGCCGCAGTGCGGGAACCCACACCCATGCCCGCAGCCCGGCCCGGGCGCCGAGCCCTGTCTCCCTCCAGAGCCAATTCCCCTCCCAGCGCCCTGCTCAAGCCCCGAGCCCATTCGCTGCCCCAGCCCCTGCTTCGGCCCAAATCCAATCCCACGCCCACCAGATGTGGGGTGTCACGAGAGTAGTCCACGCTGCCTCGACACGGAGGGGTCCAGCTGTGGCCCCTGTGGTTACAGCCAGGGGGCCGAGAGCGGTGCTGGCTGCGGGCCCGGTGATGTGTTTCCAGCGCCAGCAGGTCCCGGCGCCTGTGGGGTCCAGGGAAACATGGGTGCGGGAGTGAAAGGCCGGGCCTATGCTGGAACCAAGAGTGCCTATTTTTAAAAGAAATGTGGCCGAGACGTCCTCGCCTCCTGCTCTGAAAATCCGGTGCTTCTCTTTCCGGCAGCCACAGTTTCCAATGTGTTCCAGTGTGCTTCCCTCCAAAGATGTTTAGAGGCTTTCGTCCGGTCTCCTTTGCATGTCCTTTCAGGTTTCACACTCCAGCCTCAGATCTGACGCCTGCCCTTTTTGCATCTTTAATTCTAGGCAGACCAGCCTGGCCACCAGGCACATCTCGAGTATTTCTCAGGACGTCCCTTAGAAGTCCTTGTCTCCACGCCTGTGCCCACTCTCTCTTCCGCTGCCTGAGCCATTTCTCTCCTACTACCCTGCATCTGAAATCCAGTTACCTTTCAATGCCTCTTCCTTGCAGCCTTCTTTGCCTGTTTGTACTCACAGCAGCCTGTGCTGACTTCTAAGCTCATGGCTTCAGTCACCCCATTGAGGAGGCCACCACTTGCAACATCTCTTGGAGCAGCCAACTTTATCAAGGCTTGGGGTTCGGCAGCTTGAGCCATGGTCTGTCCTGATGGGCCATTGCAGCAACTGGGGTGGGAGGAGCCCACATAACAATAAAGATCGGGATGCACTCACAGCCTGGGTCCTGAGCAGCTTTGTACTTCTTCCTGACTGATGATGATGTTTATTTTCAATTGCGATAAAATACATACAACAAAAATTTATCAACTTAGCCACTTTTAAGTATGCTGTTCAGTGGGATTAACTTCCTTTGGGCTACAGATAATATGCTGCAATAAACAGGGCTGCATAAATATTTCTTTGAGGGCAATATTTCATTTCTTTCTTTAAAACATAAAATTTAATTTTTAAATAATCTTAAACAAAAAACACTTTCTAACTTTCTTCATTCAGTTCTGGTAAAAAGTATACTGACTCCAGATTTAGGTTATAGCTAAGATTAATTTTTAACTCAGAACAATTTTTACGTGATGGCAACTTTTTATTTTTCCTCCAAGGGAATAAATAGAGCCACAAACATTAGCAAATAATTAATTATTGTTGAAGTTTCATCTTTCATCAGGCCCAGATTGATGATGGTGCCCTGTGATAAACTTGCTGTCTTTGCTTAATGTTCAATTCAACCTTAAATTACTGATTCCTGAAAAGGCAGATTAATGTACTGAATTATTTTTATAGTAATATAGCAAGTGAATGTTTGTGGAAAATATGGAGTGTCACTTGTGCACTATGTAATGATGAACATTGAGAAATAATCCAACACTGAAACAAAGCCAGTCTCAGGTGATAGCTCCACCTATTACATGTACAAGGAAGCATGGGTCAGGTTTATTTTCAATAGTCATAAATAAATCCAAATATTTATTAAAACACAACAATTAAATAGAAAGTCTGGAATTGTAGTAATGTTCCCAATTCATTTTTATTACCCTAAATATCATATCTTCCTTCCCTCCAAGAGAAAGGCAAAACACAATAAAAATTTCAAAAGTATTTAGGCTGATGAGCTAGCCATCTAATGTATTTTTTTCTCTGCACCAGGATTTTAGGGATCCTTTTTTTTTTTTTTTACATGTGTTGGGATATAAAAAGAACACCTTTAAAACTACATTTATCTTTTTTACTTTCTGCAAGCAGAAATCACCATTGGGGGCATCATTTGCTTTATTACTGTTTCTTTTGTGAGCCGTCTCACTGCATTGCCTAGGTTGGCCTCAAATTCCAGGGCTGAAGTGATCTTCCAGACTCTGCTTCCTGAGCAGCTGGGGATACGGGCACTGCTAGCCAGGGCATCCTGGTTTAGGGCTTTAAACCATTTACAAACATACCCTGTCTCCTTTTTTCACACAAGACTTGGTGGTGGAAGGGTTTGGCATATATCCAACTCTAGTAACTATATTTTACATATTTACACACATTCCATATTTATTTCATAGAGCTTTCCAGTTACTTGAGTAACTGGAAATAAAAATAAAAGTAATTTTCTGGATTTCTCTTTCCCCCACATCTAAGGAAGTTTAGACAATTAGATTTTTTTTTTTTGGTACCGGGGATCGAACTTGGGACCTTGCACTTGCGAGACAAGTGGCAGAAACACTGAGCTAAATTCCCAGCCTGGCAATTAGATTTTGAACTGCAAAGTTTTATCAACTTTTAGTCCCTGTCTCTAGGGAAGCAGAGCTAGCACATGTTCCCTAACTAGAAATACGCGGGTTAAAATCTGTAGTTTAATCATTAAATGTGAACAATATCTGAATACAATTGGCATTAAAAATTCTGTGATGCCTTACAACTAATCTATCTGGAAAGACTCTAAAAATAACTGGCTAACTTTAAAAGAAACACATGTTTAATAACATAAATATCCTGATGAGAATGAGCCCATGTGACCCGGAAGAGTCTAGAAATTCTTGGGTTAATTATAACTATATGGTGAAAGGTTTTTCAAGGTAAGACCTTTCTAAACTCAGGAAGCCACTAAGCTTCAACTGCTCCATCTGCAATTCAGTGATCAGAGCTGAGTGTCTCAGCCACACCAAATTCTTTTTCCTTCAATGCTAGCACCAGCGTATCCTTTGAAGCACTAATTGCTAAAGTACATGCCTGAAGTGGGTTAATAGTAGCAGGGCAATTCTTAATTCCAAACATTCTTAAATTGGAGATTATAAAAGTCTCACCCAGAAACTCATGTGATTGTTTTGGTTGTAAAGAAACAACATCATTAGTAATGGTTCCCAGGTTTTTAAAAATGGGCATTAAACACAATAGGTGTGATGAATGCTATAGAAGCACTGACAGCAACATGGACATCAACAGCTTATAACCACATCTATCGAAGAAGAATTTGCTTCAGAAACTTTAAAACATTCCAAAGCTAAAGCTTTCATAAGAAGTCATTGACAGAAATTTTTCTTTTTTCTTCTAAAATCTTATTAAGTTCCTTCCATACCAACAAAACTTCTCCCATATCCACATCAGTAGAAAGGCAATAATGAGATATCATCTGCTTTGATTGCATTAGCCACTGTACCCTAACTGGACAAAGGTTGCTGACTGGGATATCTGTGAAGACACCTGTAGGAATGGGAGCCATTCCTGGACTTGTGGAAGGCACAGAAGCTGCTGGGGTAGGAGCAGCTTTAGGATGCACAAAAGTCAACATCCTTTTTGATGATTCTGCCACCTGGTCCCTTCCCTTTTACTTGTGTAAGGCCGATCCCTTTCTCTTCAGCCAATTGCTTTGCAAGAGGGCTAGCAAACACCCTCCCCCTGGGTTGGCAGGAGCAGCTGGTACGGCAGGAGTGGCTGAGGGAGTAGGGTTACAGTGACCACCAAGGGTGGGTATCGTGTTAGTGCTTGTGGTTTTAAATCAGTTACTGTACTTCTGTTGACCTGTAGTAAGTAAATGCTGCCATATCTGGCCTTTTTCCACAATGATATCAAGTGGGGTTCCTAGAGGGACATCTCTTGTACCTTCAGGGACCAGGATTTTTCTCCAGATAACCTTCCTGTACTTCAAATCCTATAGTGGCCTTGTCCCTCTCTACCTGCCAACAAGTCTCCTTCATTTAGCTTCTCACCCACTTTTTCCCATCTCTGAACTTGGCCATGGTCATGGTAGGAAGAAGCAGGAAGAAATACCTGGATGTGAGCAGGATATGAGCTACCGGAAGCCTGAGCAGAAGGAGGTGGAGGTGGTGAATCAGCATCGATGGAAGTTGGTGCTGGGGCTGCTTGTGAGGTGGCTGCTACAGAGGAATTCAATTGCAGTTTTAAAGGCCTCAACATCCTCAGGCTTTCTGAGTGTGATGCAAATGATGGATCCAACTGGAACATCATTGGTACCTTCAGCAACAAGTATGTTTGCCATATAACACTGCTTCAGGCACTCAAATCCAACAGTGACTTTATGAGTTTCAACCTCTGCAATTAGATCACCCTCATTGATTTTTTTCACCCTTCTTTGTTTTCCCAACAGGCTCTGGTGCCTTCCTGCATTGTAGGGGAAAGAGAAGGTTACAGAATCTTCTGATGAGGAGGTCTGGCATCCCAAAAGCTGCAGCAAGCAGTTCTGCCCCATGGCACCAGAGCTGAAGCTCCAGCTGCTCAGTGCTCGGACCCCCAGAGCCTGGAGTCTTGCAGTTGGAAGGAGCCAGCATGGAGCAGTCCTGAGGGGCACATACACAGCTCCCGGTCCTTCCCGCAGGGTCATCTACTGAGCCTGGAGTCCTGTCCATGAACCGCACTCTGGGCCTGTCGCACACAAAGTAGAAGTGCCACATAGTGTCGCTGACTCCCACTCCCTAAACCAACGCAGTCTCCCAAGTGACTTCTCCAAAAGCAGCCCACGATTTCATTTCTTTTGGGCAGATGTATAGAAATGGAAATGCTGGGTCATATGTTAATTCTATTTTTAATTGTTTGAGGAACCATCATCCTGTTTTCTATAGTGGCTACATCATTTTACTACAAATCCCATCAACAATGTACAAGTCTTATATCCTTGCTAACTTATTTTCTTATTTTTATATAAAAGCTATCCAAAAGGGCAGGAAATGTTATGAGTTTTCATTTTAATTTATTACTCTTATTGGTCTATTGTACCCAACTGCCTGAGCTTTCCTTAGCTTGGACCAAGTGGGTTGCCTTGTGGGCTGTCTGTCAGCCATTGGTGTCCCTGTCCTCTGTTGGAAACAGGAAATGGGGACTATAACTTTTGCTCCCCAAGCTAGGAGTATAGGTCTTCAGGCCTGGGATTGGCAGGTGACCAAGCCCTGGGGCCACAGTAGGAGCCCTTAGCTCATTACCTCTGGAACCAGAAAAGGGAAGAAGGGTGCACCTAGAAAATACTAGGAAAATATTTTCCTTCTTAAATACTAAATTATTTGCCATTTTTTGAGGGTATAGTCATGGAAGCAGCTGAGCTTGACTGCATTCCTCAGTGTTCTAGTTTCCATCAAGCATGGTGGTCTTGGGAGTGTGAAGGTGGGGGTTTCAGGCAGAGGCAGATGCCTCTTCCTCCCGCTCCTTGCGGATGAGTGAATGATGTGGCTCTGGAGGATGAGCATTCTGGAGGACAGGCCCCTCATCAGGAGGAGTTGTTACCCCAAGGCCACACACTCTACAGAGGAAGAAAGGGCTCTGCTGAGGAGAACAGAGGGGCAGGCTGTGGTCTCGTCCCTGGAAGGTGTGATCAAGGGTCTGCTCCTCACAGGAAGTGCCCCCATAGACCTCACAGCTGCAGAGACAGTTGGGAGCCATGGATCCAGATGGCAGAGACTTTAAATACTAACCAGCAGGCCCTGGACCCATTGTGGTGAGGCCAGCACTGCCCCAGGAGCACGCTGCACAGGCTATGCCCCTGGAGCATGCCATGTGGGCAGCGTGGTATCTGAATCCACACTGTAGAGGCTCTGAGGGGTCATAAAGGCCATTGTTCTGAGCTCCAGAAGATAGAGAAGAAGTGAACAACAGATAGAGGGCCTCTCTGAGGCTCCTCAATGAAAACTGAAGCCCACTGGGAAAGTGAAGAATATCTCTGCAATAAAGACACACTGGACCACCATGGTTGGTAAGTTGATAGGATCAGCACCTCCCATCT